GCGTCGCCGCGTTCATCGGCGAGGCGCTGCGCACAAAGGGCGACGGGGTCCCCTCGGGGGATCCCTCGCGCCCGCGGGAGTCGAGGAAAAGATCCACCGCCGGAGGGCTGCTCGGATCCCCTGCCTGTTCGTTCAGCGCGTCGTCGTCGGGATTCGCGTAGGAGACGATGCCGGTGAACTCAAGACGGGGGCCCCCCCCCTTCCTCACCCGACAGCGAGGCGTTCGCCCCCTGCGGCGCGGGATCCCGCAGAGAAGATGCCGCCGTGGCGTTCTCCACTGGCATCACATCGGAAGCCTCCTCGCCGTTTAATGAAAACTCCATTTCGACGGTAAATTCGACCCCCGTGGGGCCCTCCTCGCCCGTGGAGAGGGGGCTCGAAAGGGGGTTCAGCCGCACCGAAGGCATCGTCGCGGTCACGAGGAGTTCCCCGAGCGCGCGGAGGTCCCCCAGCGGCCACTCCACCAGCGGGATGAAATGCAGCACCGGGAGCAGCACATTCACTACCAGACGGTGATGGCAAACCGCCGAAGAGGGGGAGGAACCCGCGCGTTGAATCGCCTGCTCCGCCCGCAGGAGCTGATCGAGAAGATGGGTGAAAAAGGCCCCCGCGAGTGGGATCTGAGGCACCGCCAACGCCAGCGCGGCGGCCGTTAGCACGATCTTCTCCTCGAGTTTTTTGCGATGGTGGAACTCGCCAGGGCCCTCGTGGGGCATCACTGTCAGCGGCGTGATCATCTCCGCCATCAAGGCGACCACGACGTTCATCTCCACCACCTCTGAGTACAACAGCAGGACCACCGCGCTGGGTTTCACCACCTCCGCCAGCCCGTCCTCGGCCTCGTCGTTTTCGTAATCCGCCTCGGGGCTGGCGAGGTCGGAGCCGCTGAGGTTCGCCTCGTCGCTTTTTTTCACCCCCGCGCTCGCGCCGGGGCTGCTGAGGGAGCGCCTCATCGTCGGCGATCCCGTCGCGGCCGCCCGACCGGAAGACGGCCGTGGATGGCGGATTTCCGCCGCCCTTTGGGGTTCGCGATAGGGCGCGATCGGATCCGAGGCGTTTCTCGCGCCCGGTTGGATATACGATGAGGCCTCGCAGGTGTCGAGGACGGTCTGATCCCGCGCATTCCACCCGGCGAGCCCCATTTTTTCCTCCCGCGCCTTCTCCAAAAGGTGCGCGAAAAGTGCGGATCGCAGACGAAAGCAAATCGCATCAGGCTCATCCGCGAAGCAGTCCTCCTTCTCGAGCTGCCGCGCGACGGCGTGGGCGGATTCCTCGATGCTGCTACGAAACGCGCTCTCGTTAGGCGCCGCAGACGCACTAATACGCATCGGCGGCGTGAATAACAAATCGCTCGCCGGGCGATACTGCCCTTCAACCGGAAGACGCGCCCAGGCAGCGCGGCAAAGAGCCTCCGGCGAGAGATCCATCACCTTCTCCAGGCTGCATGGAAAGGGATCGATAAACAAATATTGCATATTCATCCTTTCCCTCACCTACACACAGATAAAATGTAGAAGGACTTCACTTCGATTTTTCGTTTAATTGCCTGTTATCGGTATGGCTAATTTTTTTCTCTTTTTCTCTTTTGATTGATCTACTGATGAGATACTTGGTCTCGCGTTTGTTGGCGAGAACCGAATTCTGGTTCAATATTCACACGTACGGAACCACGTACCTTCTGAGGAGGGGTAGGGGAGGGGAGAGATCAGTAATCGCTACCTCTTTTTATATTGACCTTTGGCCTGATCTCGGATACGATCCCTGAAAATTCACTATATCTTTCTTTCTTCTGGCCAAGCGTATAAAAAACAAATACTAGACTTCTGTTGTTGTTGTTTTCACTCACGTGTAATGTGATGAAATAATAATAATAATATGTATTCGTTATTTTCTCCTCACCTTCGAAAAGTAAAAAAACGTAAAAAGAACCTCGCACAATGGGAAACAGATCCCTTTGCTAAAACACAAAAACGAGAATTATATTATGTTCGCAAAACAACTGAATAATTGTAGTAGGATAGTTTCCTTCACTTTAAACAATGAGATAACGGGGAATCAATAGGAGGAAAAAAAGGATGAAAAAAGCCGAAAGAAGGTAAGATTGCAAAAAAAGGAGGACTCCATATTGACTTTCTCCTTCAATGTATTTTTTTTTACTCAAAAGAAGGGCAAGGAATAGCTATCAGCCAGTTCACCTTTGAGCTTCAACGATAGATTGTGCCTTTCAAGCCAGAATTAATCTATCCTTTCTCTTCGATTAACCGAGTAAGGCAGCTCACATATCATTGGTGCTCCCAATTACCGTGTATCCACACCTTCATGAAGTGCTTCAATAAATACCAACTCATGTCTGTATGTAGGGCATAATAAAACGTTCGACATACACATACGCATTCCTCTGCCAAACAAAATGCACAGAAGCGTAGGTATAGATGTATATATGCATAGATAAGAACCCCTCTCCTGAATGCATATCATTTCTTAAAAGACTAAAAAAGTGACCTGTTATACGAATATACATTCCTGCATCGTCCCAACAACCCCACCAGATGCGTCTAACCCCGTGATCCTTTGTATCACCTCTC